GATTCTATAGTTCTTTTTGTATCAAGAAACCAAAGTCAAAGATTCTTCAAAAATATTTCAAAGGAAAACACATCATATTGGACGTCCATTGACCATATAGTCCGACCCATTTTGACCATGGAACAAAATGGGTTATGCCTAATTGGACTAAAGTCCATATGGTCATGACCATAACAGACCACTTTTGTAATGGGTTAGGTTGGACAATGGTCAACCTTCCCATTTGACAGCTCTACTCCTACTATAGACATTATAAGTATAAAAATTTTGGACGAATTTGCCCTTCTGACACACCATAAATCAAATTGCTCAATCTGCCATAAAACAGATATAACATGATGTTTTTTTGTTTTTTTAATCAATTTCTCTTTCATCAATTTTTTTCTCTCTTTTGATATCCACACTTATATGTTTATTATTAGGACCGAATCATTTCAAAATCTATATGTAAAAAAAACAAGAATTTTTTTTTACATGTTACAATTTGAAATTTCAAAAATAGATATAAATTAATCAAATTATTTATATAATGTTAAAATGAAACGTAATATACCATATATTGTGTTATTTTACTATATAACATGGTATACCATACTAATATATAACATGATATATACTATATAACGTGTAATATTATATTCATCATGATATAAACAATATTCAAAACATATTACTAAATTTACTGCTATGTAACATAACATATGATATGTATAATTATCAATTGGCAATGCCATATTAATATATGACATGTTATATATTATATAACATGATGTGGAAGTTGAATTCCGCACTGAGTATTTGTATGTGAATTCGGAGAGGAAACTTTGGTCCTAGAAAATATCTATAAGCTTAACGATTAAAAGAAGAGTAGAGCAGAGATGTATTTATATTGATATGAATCGAATATACAATTAGATCTCTAGTGAGACGTATTACAAGTTGAAAATATAGTGTTTAGCTCTCGCGTAAGTCAAAAATTGGCGAAATTTGCTCGGACTTCGTCTATTTATAACTCAATTCAGCTCTTCGATCCAGCTCCACACATCTAGGGCGGTTCTGCATATCTCGGACACGTTTTTGGCATATTCATCGCAAATCTCGCTCCTACGACTGTGATAACCACCTTGTTGACTCGTTCCTACCTCGTCAGCTCAGCGTCTATTAACCTAGCGCTCTCAGAGCTGACTTGGACCTTTGACCGAATCCTGTCTTTTTTCTGAGGCTGGGCCGCATGCCCATTTCATCTGGTCAACATGGAATAAACGATAGGCTTTGACTTGGGCTTTTAGCGGGCCGGATTCGGTGACGAATCCAGCCCCAACACATGCTATATTTCAAATAACATGTTATACGTTACAAGAATAAGATGTTCGTAACAATAATATGGCATACCATGTTAATATATGACATTTTGTATGATATATAACATGCTATATTTAAAATAACATGCTATAGGATACAAGAATATGGCATACCATGTTAATATATGACATTTTGTGTGATATATAACATGTTATATCATATAAATACCTAGTATATAGCATATTATACTACGTTTTATTTTCACATTATATTAATAGTTTGATTAGTCACAAACATAATAAAATGTGATCATCAATATATATATGGTATGCCATTTATATGATTACATCTTTTTGGTTGTCTTTCCAGTCAGAATTCAAGGTATTTATACCTTGAGCCTAGGTCTTCTCGAGTTTTTGTTGAAGAGGTCGTGTTAGTGTGGTATCTTTGCTCTGTTCATTTTCAGTCGTGCGATCATTTATATTGGTACGATGCTAGTTACGCTCATTTTAGTTTCTTCTTCAGACTTTCTAGTTTTCTGTAGTTGCCTTACTAGTATGTTGGTTTTGCTCGAATTTTATGTTTGTTGGACCACCTCTGGCGTCTTGAAGTTCTTTGAGGA